CGCCCGGACTTCTGAACAAGCCTTTTAACAAACTTTTTACCAAACTCCCTCATCAGTACGACATGTCGATTCCCCAATTTAACTTTGGATTATTGAGATAAAACCATTTGTAACTGAACTCTCTTGTCTATAGTTGTCTGGTGATCCACGGTGCCTCCTGTACGGGCCGATCAAACCCTTAGAGGGCGTTACAATATGAACAACTATGAGGAATTTAAGGTGCATTCACAATACACGTTTGACTCTTTACAAGTACATTTTCATCAGCTTTTGTATTGTTTACAAGAGAAATGTCCCTGTGGTCACTAAACAGGTCAGACTCACTGCTCAGCACCAGGCTCTATGTCAGATGTGAGAACTGGGCTGTTGAAATCAGCCAAACATTCCATGCTGGGCCAAATACGGTTCAGTCCTTCATCCTTGTTGCCCAAATATTTTCATCTTGGCAGCATTTTCCGCTCTAAGTACAAATGACCAAGAAATACAGCAGTCCAGATAAATCACTGATTGAGGCTTGATTCCAACTTCAGACAGTAAAGAGTTTTTATGACCAAAGCTTCTGCCTCTGAAATGGAGAGTCCAGTGACCTGAGAAAAGCCAAAAAAAAAACCAAATAAATAATAACAATGAATTGGCTCCTGTAGGAAAACTGTGGTTACCCCAGTTGCTTCTTATTGAACATATAAACTGAATGAAAACAGAGGGGGAAAGTGCATATGACAGGTTTTCATGTGTTTCTGATTATTACTTGGTTTAAAACATTGACATGGGCTTTTAAAAACATTGACTAACTGTAGCGCTGCAGCCCCATGCATGTCCCTGGTGGGATGGGAGCTGTGGTAAATATTTATTGTAGTTTATATCAGCTGTATGTATTTAAAGTAACATAAAAATGTTTTGGTGTAAGTGGACATCATGTGGACGGTCTGTACCTGGGCTGTAGTTTTTTCCTCTGGACGCCTCTGAGATCTTTGTCCACAGGTCCTGGACGGTCAGACGCTCAAACTCCTCCTCAGTCTCACAGAGTTCCACTTCAAATGAGTCTCCATATGAGCGCTGAATTGTAACTTTATATGTTTTAGGTCTTGAAGACAAGAAAATTGAAATTTAAAACCTTTGAATCAGTTGTCAAAACTTGTGTGTATGATCTACATTCCAGCAGCAGCCTCTGACCCTCCCAGAACAGAAAAAACCTGAAAAAACTCTAATGTCCACCATTCATGATCAACTGTCACTTTAAACCTAAATGATGGTTATTTAGTCACATGTCCTTGGGACAATAAACTTGTCTCAAGTTCCAAAACTGCTTAGTCCTAACAGAACAATCTGTCCACAACATGGACTCAGCAGAGTCAAACCCTCTGATCAAAATGGATCCAAGTCCTCTGACTTAAGCAGAACCAAACTCTTTGTTACAAGTTGTGTCCAACCAAGGCCTGTTACTGGAGAGACATGACACTCAACTTAAGGAAATTATGGAAATCAGCAAACTTTCTCTGCTCAGATGAACCAAACTGAGACCATCACCTCACTTCTGCTTTCACCCAGTTTTCTGCTGCTCCACCACCATCTAATGTCCAGCCTGGAGCCTCTCCACCACCTCCAGCTCCACCTACCTTGACTCAGCGAGAACCTCACATTCCCCCTCCTGAGAGATACTCTGGTGATCTTGGCTCCTGTGTTCAGTTTCTCCTCCAGTGTTTCCTGGTGTTTGATCAGCAGCCTCACACCTGTGCATCAGATACTAGGTCATGTATTACTTTTGTCATAAGTTTATCTGGTAAAACATCTCAGCAGGTTAAAGCAGCGTGGGAAAGTAATTCTGACATTTTCTGATCTCACTTAGGTTTTTCTAACACAGTTCTCCTGGCCCAGGCCTCCTCTCTCTTTGCAGGTGTCCTCACCTGCCTCAGTTCTCCTGCCTGTCGCTCCACCCACAGAAAACACAGGGATTATAAAAGTGTGTGTGTGAGCTCAACTCCTCCCTCTCCTCTCCATCCTCACGTCTGCCACACTTCCACACCACAGCCAACATGTTTTCTTTTGGTATTTGCACCAGTACAAACCCAACACTTAGATACTATCACTATCATGACTATTATTCACACACACACACACACACAGCACATAAACTCACACACACTGACAACACAAACACAACTATTATTATTATTCTTGAAAATAAATGCCCACATCAAGAGTTAAAACTAGGGGTGTCAAATTATCGCGTTAATTGCGATTAATTAATTACAGTCATATTTAGCGCGTTATGTTTTTTAATCGCGTTAATCTCATTTTTAATCTCTAATTTTACTTTTTCTGTATGCGAGTTGCTTTATTATAAAATCTGTTTTTATGTGTTGTTGGGACAACAACACACACACACACACAAAAACACATTTATAATTTTTTTTATTTCGGTAATTCCACTCATTGCCGGAAACCCACACAAAACGCGCGCAGTAAGAGCGATGTAAACGTCATGTTAACGTTGGCGGCGTCAGTCACAATGGACGAGGTCGAAGAGGCAGTAGAACAGAGCAGCAGTGCACAGGTAAAAACACATTCGGGTCTTGGAAATTATTGTCCCGACGTGAAATATAAAAGAAAATAACAAATATAAAATCACCTACAACTTAAATGTCACACACAACACACAACACACACACACACACACACACACACACACACACACACACACACACACACACACACACACACACACACACACACACACACACACACACAAACACACACACACAAACACACACAAACACACACAACAGGTCAGACTCACTGGTCAGCAGTTCCAGGCTCTTTGTCAGATGTGAGAACTGGGCTGTTTAAGTCGGCCAAATGCTTCATGCTGATGCAGTTTCCAACATATTCTTCAGGTACTACGAGATTGGAGGTGTTCAAATCCTCCATGTGTACAGACTGATGGCGACGCCTGTGATGCCACATTCTGCTATAGGATTTGGTCTGGCGACATTTCCCGACTCTGCCATCGAGTTTGTGCCCAGGTTGTCTGACTATATCCAGATAAATCACTGATTGAGGCTTGATTCCAACTTCAGACAGTAAAGAGTTTTCATGCTGAAAATGTCTGCCTCTGAAACTGAGAGTCCAGAGATCTGAGAAAATAAAAAACAAATAAATAATAACAATGAATTGGCACCTGTAGGAAAACTGTGGTTACTCCAGTTGTTTCTTGTTGAATACATAAAATGAATGAAACTCGAGGGTGAAAGTGCAAATGACAGGTTTTCATGAGTTTCTTATTATTATATTATTATTACTTGGTTTATTTGGTTTATTTGAATAGAGATGGACACAGTCTGATGCACTGGTGGGATAGTGTCTGTGGTAAATAATGATCAGTTACATCAGCTGTATGCACTTTAAAATAACATAAAAATAAAATAAGAATTTTACTAAAGTTTTGGTGTAAGTGGACATCATGTGGACGGTCTGTACCTGGCCTGTAGTTTTTTCCTGGTGACGCCTCTGAGATCTTTGTCCACAGGTCCTGGATGGTCAGACGCTCAAACTCCTCCTCAGTCTCACAGAGTTCCACTTCAAACGAGTTTCCATATGAGGGCCATATTGTAACTTTAGGCCTGTTAGACCTTTCTGTTTTTTGCCTTGAAGAAAAGTTTAATAGGTTATTAGAGTTTCATTGTTTACCTTGACCTTAACTGCCAGATTAACTGTCAGATTTGGGTTTTTTATATATTTTTTTATTTGCCTTATCGTTGAGTTTCACTGCCATCACAGCGTTCAGTCGACTTATTAAAAATACTGTGGCAAATCTGCTGTTTCTTTATTATTGGATACTGTTATTGGATAATGAACCTCATGATTAAAAGTACAGGGTCATTGTTAAATGTGAATTAAATCATAATGAAATATATGAACAAATATGGGGAATTTAAGGTGCATTCACAATACACATTTGACTCTTTACAAATACATTTTCATCAGCCTTTTGCAGATTTTGCTGTTTTACACACAGAAATGTATAAGAGAAATATATGCTGCTCTCTGTGGCCACAAGGGATGTAACAGTAACTGAAATATTACAATATTGTAATGTCAAAAGTCTCACAATAATATCGTGGACTATCTCAGTAAATGAAAAACAACAGCAAAACACACAAACCTCATCATATAAATGGTTTATGTAACAAACTCCTGTTGTATTCTTCACCCAAAAATCTTTCACCAAGGACGCACCTTGTTTATGTAATTCTGGTCGGACTGCTCCAGACCAGGATTAAACTGAACAGTGAACAGTCTCAGTTCTAACAGATTTATAAATCCTGACTGCTGTTATTAAATACACCAAAACACAAAAACAAGTTGTATTATGTACCTAGAACAGTTGTCCATACTGGTCAAGAGAAAGATTTTCACTCAGTCTGAAAGAAAGAAAAGAGTTGTGAACTTTTTGTGTCAGACTTTGTCAGATCATGTCTTAAACCTAAAGTATAAATATAATCTGTCCACAGAGTCTACAACATTCATGATCAAACTGAATCATATTTAAAAGTACTAAAAGTATGAATATATAAAAGAGCTCTTACCGTCTCGTGTCTTTCACTGCGTTTACATCAAATTCAGTGCCACCTTTGTTTAGGAAAAGTTTCAGCAACAGCGTTACCCGTGTGTGAATCAATATGATGAATGAAGAACTGGTCTGTTTAGTAGGCTAAAAAAAAACAACAAAAAAAACTCAAGAGGATTTGTGGTAAGGTAATTTTGTCAGCGCATAAACAATTATTATATAAACCAACAATTATTATCTAAACCAAAGGTAAAAAATACAATCATCATAAATAATTATTTTCATTTTAGTTGAAAAAGTTATTGATAAACATGAGCGTGACAATTTACCTCATGAAGGGAAGTGTCATCACAGACGTCCAGCCTCATGTTTGAACTCGTTACGACACAGAGAGATAGAATGGAAAAAAACAAAAACACATTATGCATTTCTGCCATGTTTGGTTTCAGAGACAGAAACTGGAATGAAAAAAAGTGCAACAACATGCCCCAGTCTCCCATTAGTGCACAAACTGTGAGGAAATGAAACTCACAAAAAAAAGTTTGAATGACCATCAAGTTATGGATTTGCAATAAGGAGTTTTTGCCTTATGTTTTAAATGAAAAAGTGTTTTCAAGTGTTTCAACAGTTTCCAGAGGTAAAACAGGTTAGCACTGATCTTTTTTTTTTCTGAGTTTTGGTCCAATGTGGGTCTCTTTTTTTCTCCTGACACAGCAGAAGTCCCAAAGTCCACACTGCTCTACTCTATGGACATTTCAGGACGATTCTCACAGACCAGGAAAATCAGTGACTCAGACGTGACCCCAAACTCAGACACTGCACTGTCACCATGATGAAGAGGTCTGTATCTGAAAATGAGACTCCAAAAATCTGAGAAAAAACAAAAACAAATAAGAAAAAATAGAGTCAGGGTGGAGGAAATATCATATAACAGAGCAGGTTGGACTGGTTATTAAAAACTGGTTGAAGTTTCAGTGTCTTCCCAAAGTAATGTCTCATTATCCTTCATACGAGGTTTCCATGGAGAGACAAGAAAAACAAACATCTGTGTGTCCGTCCGTCCCAGAGAATGAGGATGACATCAGCCGCAAAGTGTCACGATATGACACTGGTTTGGCAACAGACTTCATGTTATGTAAGAAATAATATTGGCAAATTGAGAGCACAAGAACCACTGCCAAAAACTACTAAACTCTAAAATACTCTAATACTCTACCAATATAAAACAATTGACGACTAGTATTTATATAAGATACAACCAATAAAGGCCCACAGAAATCATCCATTCTCACATCAGAATCAGAACTACTGAAACACAAGAAAAAAAGAGTTAAGAAAGTCTCAAATCGAATGTTAGAATCACAGTGAAATATACATATTCATCGGTTCATATTGTACGGAAGCCCTGAGAGGCAAAAGAAAAAAAAAAAGAGGCAGGTCATTTGGGCTCTATTTTCTAAATGTTTTTTTTTTTTTCATCAACTCAAAAAAAAAAAAAAAAAAAAAAAAAAAAAAAAATTTCTACAATTTTTTTTTTTTTTTTTCGCTGTTGATCTGGCTGACAAAAAAAAAAAACCCTCAAAGCCCAAGTGTTTTCCTGGTGTATTCCTATAAGTACCACACTTCAGCTTCGACAAGCCACCAGAGATTTGGCTTATGGCGTTAGGTTCTAGGTTGGGACATGGGAGGTCAGGGTTCGAAACTCACCTGGTCTGGGTTGTGTGTTTTTATTCTAGCTGAATACAGTCTTTTCATGAGTTTTATGTTTTATGTTCTCTTTTATGAGTAATATGAGAAGTAAGATCGATGCATCACTGATCCGCTGTCATTCTGTAAGAGCGAGAGTGGGGATCACTGCTCCAGGCTGGAAGACAGAACGCTGCACTGCCTCTGGTTTTAGCGGGACTGAGGTGTTTTTTTTTTTTTCGTCAGCCACGTCAACAGCGAAAAAAAAAAAAAACACAAGAGAAAAAAAATAATAATTGTAGAAAAAAAATTTTTTAGAAAAAAATTAATTGTAAAAAATTTTTTTTTTTTTTAGAATTTTTTTTTTTTTTTGTAGAAAATTTATTTATTTATTTATTTTTTGAGTTGGTGAAAAAAAAAAAAAAAAAAACACTTAGAAAATAGAGCCCAAATGATCTGCCTCTTTTTTTTCTCTTGCCTCTCAGGGCTTCCGTAATATTGGATAATGAACCTCACTATTAAAAGTTCAGACCTTCCAGACATAAGGACATTTTTAGTACTTCTGTCGTCGCAGGGATTTTTTTCTTAATTTTGCTGTTAAAACTCCCACTTTTACCCCCTAATGAAGAGTTATACATCCTTTTCTTTTTTTCAGTACATCTTGTTATTTCACAGTCTGCTGCTGTAGCTGTGTCATATGGCTGCAATAAAAGCTACAGGACCAGAAATTAGGGCCGGGCACGTTAACGCGTTAATTTTGCGTTAACTAATTAATTCATTAACGCAGACAATTATTTTAATTCAGTTTTTATTATTTATTTATTTATTTATTGTAAATGTCTCTTGCTCAGTGGCTTTTGTGTTGAAAAAGTCCACCACAAGAGTTTCTTTAAGTTTGACGTCCTTTGTTTACACTTGTTTCACTTTTTTCTGACCACGTGAGATGCAACGTGTCCGAGACTCTGCGAGCTGCAGGCTTGGCTGCGGGCTCCGGCTCTGGCTGGGCTGTGAGCTCCGGTCTTTCTCTTTCTTCTTCTTCCAGACGCCCCAGAGTTGTCCAAATAGAGGTGTCCAGTGCGATTTTGTCGCTTACATAACACTATCACAGGGTATTCGCGAAGACCTGGAAGATTTCGTGATATGATCCCGCCCATAACTCAGTCACTGATTTACCCAGAAAAAAAAAGGCTAGAGAACATAAACCGCAAAGAGATTTCCTATGGTACCATCAAGACTCACTCACGTCACTTTCATCAAGGTATTTGCTATTTAAAATGTTTCATAGTTTATTTAACCCTGGAGAACCCACGGGGTCAAATTTGACCGCTGTTGATTGCTGCTACCCAAAATGAACAAACAAACAAAAAATTGAAAGCTCAGAGTGCCATTCTGGCCTCTGCATAGAGACACCAAAACAAAAGTGGTAGTGACAAGATCAAATTGTTGAGCTGGAAACCTACCCAAACACAATTGTCTTCTCTGTTAATTTATTTAGTATTAGCCTGCTGCCAGATAAATTAGTGAGCTTGTCCAAAAAACTGGGTCAAAATTACCCTCTGGGTACGGGTCTGGGTCAAAAATGAGTCTAAGACTACAAAGTCTTGGACTAGTGTAAATAATAATATATAATGTAATAATGTATATAAATAGTATATATAATATATAGTATATAAATAGTATAATAGTGTATCAGCTACTGTATATATATAGAGGCCTATAGCCATGCATGTAAATACATTATTTTATAAAGGGGTCTGTATTCTATTGATTAATTTCATTCAATACCAAGTGCCTGTGGGCATTTTTTACTAAGTTAAGTAGGTGGTACAGGACCAGAGACTAATAAAGTAAATACCTATTATCTTTTCAGGGAATATGGCTGCTCCCTTTTCAGCACAGGGAAAGGAACAGAGAAAGTTCACTGTAAGACAAGTATTAGAGCAATTTGAAGCTAATGATAGAGACTTTGGCCCTGGATTGGACAGCAATAGCGATTCTGATGAATTGTTTCAACCACAAGAAAGTGATGATGGTGAATCTTCTGCCCAAGACAATGACTCGTCCAATGATGAGGATGTGCCATTTGCCGAGACTGCTAGCTCACAGATGGAGCCAAAATGTGCCACAAAAACTTACAGGTGGTGAAAGAAAGACTTTGAGCTGCCTGACATGAGCTTTCAAGGTGAACAGGTTGAGTCGTACCAGGATGCCATGACAAACCAGACCAGATCAGCTGAACATCCAGAAGTACAATGATTCCATGGGGGAGTTGACATGCTGGATGTGCATCTTGAACATTGTAAATTTCCCATTCAGACCCATCGTTGGTATATGATGCTTTTCTGGCATTTCTTGTCTATTGCGGTGATCAACATTAACAGTGTTTCCTATTGTTATTCTTTGAAATGATACGCGTAAAACCCAATGGGTCAAATTTGACCCTAATCCTAAATCAGGGAATAAAGGGTTAAAATTGAAAAAGTTGATATTTTGGTGTTCAGTGGACTCATAGCAGTCAGTTAATGCATAGTTCATAATTTTCCAAAGAAGAAAAGGGTTCTTCAGGGTTAATGAGAGAAGCACATTTACTGAACTAAAATTTAAAAAGAAAACATTTGCAGTGTGAGTGGCAGTAGAAACTGTATCTTCCAACGCACACATAAACATGTCACTCGTCGTAGGACCCATGTTTTCTTTATTGTCTTGCTTATCCACAACTATGTCTTCTAAAATTAATCACTTTTTGAGAGTGGATCTTTCTAACGTTCGCAAGGATCTTTTTATGGCCAATTTTTTCGAGGTTTGACTCACAGACTCTTCGACTCGTGCGCCATGTTGATCATAGGAGCCCAGTGTGGGTTCGTTGAATCGTAAATTAGTGCAAGTTTTCCTGGATAAATTAATGACATTTTAGTTCAGTAAATGTGCTTCTTTCATTAAATAAGCTATGAAACAATTTAAATAGCAAATACCTTGATGAAACTTTGGGTGTCTTGATGGTACCATTGGAAATCTCTTTGCGGTTTATGTTCTCTAGCCATAATCCGCGTCTTTTTTCAATAATTCCCTTTGTTTGAGCTCCTGATGAGTCATTTCCAGAGGAACAGTGAAAAAAATTAATCGTTTTATCCCTTTCAGAGCGTCTAGAACAGCCAAATACACAAATAAAAACCTGCCCATGTTTCTTTGATGCTACTGAAGTCAATGGCAGAGCGTGCCCGGTGTCATGGCGGCGTAGTTATCGTCGCCATGGGGGACACGTGATGGTGCAAAGCCTCTATACTCTGGATCTGAGGTGAGTGGAGGCAAGGCCACACAAGACAAAATAGGACATCGTCTGTCACAATATATAATATAAAAAATAGAAGAAACTACATAGACATACATAGACCATGATCCTCTGTTTCAGCTCTGATTACTAGTACATGAAGAAATAACTGTT